GCGTGATAGACATTTGAATGACCTTTATGTGAACAGATATATCGAAAACGTGACCGGACTCAACCTCCCTATTTATGACAAATATTTTTTCCCACACAGTTTTACTAGATGACTTATGCGTTTGAAATTTCACATGTATATATATCGATTTCATATTATTTCTCTTTTTATCACAGATGAGCGATTCTGATAAGAAAAAAAAAAGTGTGATTTATGCTTTTGAAATTTCACATGTATATATATATCGATTTCATATTATTTCTCTTTTTTTTCTTTTTATCACAGATGAGCGATTCTAATTAGAAAAAAGTGTGTATTGACTTTTCGGTGTTACTCGTGTTTTCTTGTTTTTATCATAATCGAATATTTATCCGCATTTGAAAATGTATACTTTATATACTCAAAATGTCATTTTTTTATTCTTATATTACTCAGTTTTTTAATCCATTCTTTTTGTTTATTTACTCAAACAAGAAATAAAACAAAACAAAAACAAATTGTATACTTTCTATATACTCAAAATGTCATTTTTTATTCTTATATTACTCAGTTTTTAATCCATTCTTTTTGTTTATTTACTCAAACAAGAAACAAAACAAAACCAAATTGTATACTTTCTATATACTCAAAATGTCATTTTTTTATTCTTATATTACTCAGTTTTTAATCCATTCTTTTTTGATTATTTACTCAAACAAAAAAAAAACAAAAAAACAAAAAACAAAACAAAAACAAAATGTATACTTTCTATATATATTTCAATTACTCAGTTTTTAATCCATTCTTTTTGATTATTTACTCATTAGTAGATTTCCCTTCTTTGTGTAATAAACTCCGTTAGTTTTCAAAATGATGTGTATTTATTAGCGTGCGTGTGTGTGTGTGAGAGAGAGAGAGCGCCCTCTACGATACATTCTGAAAAATCTTTCGTCCACGCCTGTCCAATTAAAAAATAATTAAAAATAATTAAAAATAATTAAAAAAATAATTAAAAAAATTGATGGTAATTTATGCAAATGTATTCACGATGGCCTCGACACGACCTCGTATTCACATCTATTTTATGTATGCAAATGTATGCACAATTTCCCATTGTGACGTCATCCTCATTCAAATGATCCCTTTTTACATCTATTTTATGTATGCAAATGTATGCACAATTTCCGATTGTGACGTCATCCTCATTCAAATGATCCCCTTTACGGCCATGGTCCTCATTTATGCTAATTTATGCACGAATTCTCATTGTGACGTCATTATTTATGCTAAGCTATGCATGGCCTCCCATTGTGACGTCATCCCTCCCCATATGACGTCATCGCATCCGAGTATGAACAGCGCCCTCATGGTCGTGCCTATAGTGTAACGTAAACTACTGTACGGGCTTTAATTATTTTGGCTATAAACTTATTTTAATTTTATTTTTTATTACTTTTGTTTTATAATGCCTTTTTATTTTATTATTTTACTTTGATTTTGATTTTTTTTAATTCCGCCCTACATACATCTGATCCGACGCTGATGTAAGTCCCGTTCAAATCTCGCGTAAGTAACAACCAATCACAGCCCCCCCTTTTATACAGGCTTTCGGTTGCTTACTTTTCAGTGTAGCGATACTCTACGGGCTATCTTTCTGTACATTATATTTTGCCCACTTGAATAAACCATCAATACAAATTGCTAGTATATTTTTATTTACAAAAGAAATTCCACAGCATTTTACAATTGTTTTCATTACATTGAATATTTTTATTCACTTCCAATAAATGTGTACACTTCAGATTTTAATCAGATTGGTATTTTTTATACAAATCTCTCCATTCTTAGTACAATTATTCCTATATTTTATCGGAAATCGCATTTTTAGAAAGCAATTTGTCGGTATTTATTTTGATTTTTAAATATTTGTTGTTAAATGTGAAAATTGTGAAATAATTTATTGTACAAGCCTATACTAGTAATGTTTTATTCTTCTGCCTGTTGACTGTAGCTTAACAAAATAAAATAAAATAAATAAAAATAAACGTGGTGGCCTGTTACCACACGATAACTGGACAGTGCTTGTAGTTAACGTACGAACATACAAGCAAGGTTGTGTGTGTGATACGTCAATTTGTCCACAGTTGTAAGCATCTTTAAACAACAAACCCACCATTGATATTTCAGATTAGAAACTCGTGTCCGTTTTCGTTTGGAAATTCCACGTGTCACGCGCGAATATTCTCTAAGACAGACCGGAAACGGAAACGAGACTAAAACAAAAGATTTTTCAAGTTAGCGTGGGGGAAATAACGTTGCTAAGTATTATCGTCAGGGAAAGCTATTGTTTAAGCTAGTCTGTGATTGGTTGCTGGCAATGTTTGGGGGATTTTGACCAGTTTGTGACGTAGGCTTGTCTTAGAGATATATATAATTCCGTTCTTCTCAAGCTACTACTGGAAATAAGGTATAAATAAATATATAACATGATCAACATTGTTCTCTCTCGTATACACCAACATTCACAAGTATTATCCCAGTACTGTACTCCAGTGCTAAACCATTTCG